TAATACAACCCTCTTCTTTTTAAAAAAAACTTTTTTCTTCTTTGTTGATTTGAGAGAGAGAGGAAGGGAGAGGGAGAGAGAAACATGGATGAGAGAGAACATCGACTGGCCGCCTCCTGCACGCCCCCCATGGGGATCCGGCCCACCACCTGGGCTTGTGTCCTGACCGAGAATCGAACTGATGACCTCTTGGTGCAGGGTCGATGCTCAGCCCCTGAGCCACACCAGCCGGGCTGAAACCCTCTTCGTTACGAAGACTGTAAGCAATGACGTCGGTCTGGTCCCTGGGCCAGGCCTCGCAGTCCCGGGAGCGAGAAGCATTTCTAGGGGTGAGAGTTCAGCGTTTTGCTTTTAGTGGCTTCTGCGCGCAGGCCCGCTGGCTCCCCACTGCCCCTCCGGGAGGTCTGCTGGGCTCCGCGGGGCCCGTCTCACAGACACATTTGCACAGCTGTTTCCTGCGTGTACCGTGGGCGTTTCGTCGTCCCTGTGGATGGAGGGAGGAGAGGGTCCGGGGTTTGGAAACCTGAGCTGGGTTTCCTCACAGCCTTTGCACCAGCAGCACTGGCCGGGCAGGAGTCACCCCAGGACGCACGCGGGAGGGACTGCGTTCCCCAAGCCCAGGGGTGGGAACAGAGGAGTCTCGTCTGACGTCATGGTCCCTGATAAGCACATGCTCTATGCAGGACAAGGCAGTGAGTGGGTGAAGTCGGGGTGAGCGGGGCGGACGCGCCGGGCACACCAGCTGCACAGCAGGTGCGTTGTCGTCCGCCTGGGGAGACCCTTCCTTCCTGAACACGCAGTGAAGGAACCGAGGCCTCTGGGCCCCGGACGGCAGGGAGGCATCACGGTTCTTCCACTTGGCCTCCTGGGGGAGCTGGTGATGAGGGGAGGCTCTGGGAGGGCACCCCTCACTGCAGTACCTGCTCTCTTGAAGTGACCCCTTTTGCCACTAGTGTCCCCCACCCTGTCATCACAGTCCCAGCGCTCAGATCACGGATAGAGCGGAGACCAGTTCCGCGTGCTGGCTGCAGCTCCTGCTACACAGACGACCACAGATTTAGTGACTCAAAGCAACACGTGTCACCTCAGTTCTGCAGGGCAGATGCCCCAGTGAGCTCCGTGGGCCCTGCCAGGGTCTCACTGGGCTGAAATGAAGGTGCTGAGGGCTGCCTTCCGGAGGCTCTGGGGGAGACTCCTTCAGATATTCAGGCTGTGGGCAGAACAGTTCCTCGCGGTTGTAGGACTGAGGTTCTCTGCCTTGCCGGCCGTCAGCCCCTGGCCCCTCTGCGGTCCCTGCACTTGGCCCTCGTCTCAGAGCCCCCAGGAGGTAGGCCTCCCCCTCAGGCTCCTAACCGCTGACGGCTCGTCCTCTGCTTCCTCCTGACTCCAGCCAGGAGAGAGTCTCTGTTGTTGGGGCTCTTGTGATTAGATTGGGCCCACCCAGATAATTCAGAACTATCTCTCTATTTTAAGGTTGTAAAAACTAAACCTGCAAATTACTTTTGCTAGAAACATGGTTAGGAGGTGGATATCTGCCTTCCACACCCATCCACACCAAGAAGAAGAGTTAGTGTAAAGTCTACATTTCCTTCTTCACCTACAGCCCACAGACACCTGGTCCCCGCAAGGCTTCTGTGTCTTCCCTCATTTCAGGGGCTCACACCTGGTTCCCCCGAGGCTTCTGTGTCTTCCCTCATTTCAGGGGCTCACACCTGGTCCCCGCAAGGCTTCCGTGTCTTCCCTCATTTCAGGGGCTCACACCTGGTTCCCCCGAGGCTTCGGTGTCTTCCCTCATTTCAGGGCTCACACCCTGGTCCCCCGAGGCTTCTGTGTCTTCCCTCATTTCAGGGGCTCACACCTGGTTCCCCCGAGGCTTCTGTGTCTTCCCTCATTTCAGGGGCTCACACCTGGTTCCCCCAAGGCTTCTGTGTCTTCCCTCATTTCAGGGGCTCACACCTGGTTCCCCCGAGGCTTCTGTGTCTTCCCTCATTTCAGGGGCTCACACCTGGTCCCCGCAAGGCTTCCGTGTCTTCCCTCATTTCAGGGGCTCACACCTGGTTCCCCCGAGGCTTCTGTGTCTTCCCTCATTTCAGGGGCTCACACCTGGTTCCCCCAAGGCTTCCGTGTCTTCCCTCATTTCAGGGGCTCACACCTGGTTCCCCCAAGGCTTCTGTGTCTTCCCTCATTTCAGGGGCTCACACCTGGTTCCCCCAAAGCTTCTGTGTCTTCCCTCATTTCAGGGGCTCACACCTGGTTCCCCGCAAGGCTTCCGTGTCTTCCCTCATTTCAGGGGCTCACACCTGGTTCCCCGCAAGGCTTCTGTGTCTTCCCTCATTTCAGGGGCTCACACCTGGTTCCCCCAAGGCTTCTGTGTCTTCCCTCATTTCAGGGGCTCACACCTGGTTCCCCCAAGGCTTCTGTGTCTTCCCTCATTTCAGGGGCTCACACCTGGTTCCCCCAAGGCTTCTGTGTCTTCCCTCATTTCAGGGGCTCACATCTCCTTCCCTGGAAGGTTCCGGGTGGGGCACGTCCTTCATCCCTGAGGGAGACACCACAGGTGTGGGACAGAGTAACGTGTTATATTACTGCTTAAAATTCTAAAAATAGTACTTCTTTTCCAGTTATCCAGTGACCAAAAGTTCTGTTTTTTTGTTTTTTTTTTTTTCCTGAAGATGCTGATGTGAGTAAAACAGTTCCTTCCCTGAGGAAATGTAAGACCCGGGCAGAGAGTCTTCTAGGTGACGATGATGGTGACGCGTGGCAGGGAGAGGTCCCAACGCCACCGCGGGGTTCAGGAGGGGTGATTATAACCTTGGGAAGAGCTGTAAATGTTCTCCGCAGGGTTCAGGTGGGGAAGGAAAACAGCCAGAGGGAAGGGGTCTGCACAGAGGGAGGGGCACCCTGTGGAGATTCTGTTCTGGGGGGCATGGTTGCCCTCTGCTGTACCCCGCCCGCCAGCCTGTTCGTGGAGGCTCTCGGCTCTCCGTGGCCGTGTCTGCCCGGTGCACAGAGCAGGTCCGTGGGCCAGGCACCTGCCGGCTCTTTGCTCTGAATTGTCACTAGCACATTCCCCAGGGGCTTGCTGACTTCACCGTGCAGGTGGGGAGACAGACCGGTGAGGTTCCCGTGGGACACCGGGTTCCCAGAGACGAGAGTACACGGGGAAGGATTCGTAACAATTTTGACATGAAAGGACCTGTAGCTTCTAACCTGAAAAGGATAAATTACTCAAAAACAACACCTCGTGTTTTACAAATGTCAAATACAAACAGCGTTTGAACTATTTAATTCAAACCTAGTCCAGCATATTTGTTACTGTGTCTTATCGATACGATTCAAAATAGGTGTGGTTTTACTTAAAACAAATGTTTCCCGATCATTTGATAAAGAACCATATTTTCCAATAAATTATGTCAATCTTTTCTTTTTTTTTTTTTTGCCATCAGATTGAGATCACAAAATATGCAAGTCCCGGTGTTTTCGGCTGGGAACGTAGGTGTTGGTTTTCAGGCGGGACCCAGGGCCGGGAGCATGAGGACTTGGGAGAGCAAAGCGGAATCCGCGCCTCTCAGGTCCACCGAGGTCAAGGGCAAAGGAGGAACCCATTTCGCGGAATTGCTGGTTGGCAATAACACTAACAACGGACCACACGTCCATGGAGTTGCCTTTCTCCCGTGTCCCCGAAGGGCTGGGCCGCTGTGTGTGACGGCGAAGTTCCCAGGACACTAAGCTGGGCCACCGCGCCCAGGTGTTTGGTCACATGTCATTCTGGGTGTTTCCATGGAGGATGTTTGTCGGATGAGATTAACATTTAAGTCAGGAGACTCTGAGGAAAGCGACCTGGCGGGGCCCCATCCGCTGGCTCGTGGAAGGCTTTAGCAGAGCAAAGACGGGCCGCCCGAGGAGGGGGTTCAGGTTCAGCAAAAGGCCTCAGAGCGACCTGGGTCTCCACCTGCTGGCCTACCTTCAGGTCTTGGGCTTCCCGGACCGCATACTCGTATGCGCCCATTCCTTATAATAAATCTGTCCATCTGTCTGTCTGTCTGTCTGTCTTCTGGGGAAGCCGGCAAAAGCAATGTGATTTTAGGGTGTTCTGTAAGTGCTGATGCCTTTGCTCAGGTATAATGATTATCTGTCTTAAAGAATCATTCTATGACTATTCCGACATTTCATAAGTGGCTTCTTTGATGTAATGTGCTAACCAGTAGGGGGGATTCTCAAGGAATCACAGTCCCAGAAGCATTTCCCCTAATTCTTGGCCGCGCGGGAGGGAGGGAAGACTCGCCTCCATGTGGGACAGTGTCAGGGGGCCTGGGCTCTGGGCTTGGTGACGTCCCTGAGGGGACCCCGCTCTGGGGTTTCCCTGCCCCACGGTGGGTGCGCCTGGCACAGCCCCCAGGCCTGTGGACACGAGCGAATGTCCGTGATTGTGCTGTGTCCCATGGCACTGGTGACCTCAGACAGGGACGGGGACCTAATCCATGAGGCAGGGGTCAGGGCAGGGGAGTCTGTGAGGTGCCCTTCCTGGCTCAGAGATGGGGGGCCATGCGTCCAGGTGGCTCTGAGGGATCAGTCACCCCACAAGGGGGCGGGGTTATGTCGACAACAGGAGTGAGCCTGGGAGCGAAGTCCCCCGATGCTTCCTGGGACCCAGCCAGGGCCCCACCTTCCCATCTGAGACTCTGCGGAGTGGAGCTCAGCCCCCAGGCTGGTTCCACCCACAGAACCGCGGGCGGATGGGGGTGTGAGGCTGGGGTGTGGGGCACGTGCTCAGACAGCATAGGTGCCCTTACCGCCTCGCTGCCCTGGGCCCCGCTCCTGTTCTTAGGAGAAACAGGGTCCTGATACTGGCGGCTGGCAGAACCACCTGACCGCAGGGTCTGTTTCCTGACCGTCCCTGTCCGCTCCCCGAACGGCTTCCGCAGCTCAGCGGACGTGCACGGGCCTCCTTGTCCTGCGCGGACCGGGGGACGTGTAACAGCCGCTGTCTCTCCGTCCAGGGCCCCTCAGGAGGAGACATTGCCGGACCCCGGGCGTGCGGGGGCTGGGCAACCTCTCGGACCTCCTGGACAAACTCCAGGAAAGCCATCGGCAGGATGTCTTCCTCTACACCTCCGGACACCTGAACCCCAGCAAGCTCTACAGGCCCCCCGAGACGATCTTGCACCACTGGCGCAACGCCAGCAGGCCGAAGCCGGAGAGAGCCCCGCGAGTGGGGGACCCGGCTGGTCAGAGGGTCGCCAAGATGAAGGACGCCCTGGCCGACTTCACCATCGGCACGGCGCTGCGTCCCCGGGACTCCGGGAGCACCCAGCTGTTCCGGTACCTGAACCCGGCGGCCAGCGCTTCCCGCACGTCGGAGGAGGACGTCCTTCCCCAGCTGAGACGGGGGCCCGAGGGCCCTCTGCCCAGGAGGGAAGAGCTCCGGTGGCCGGAGCTGACGGTGCTGAAACGCAGGCCCGTGCACTCCAGCCGCCAGTGCGCGCGGTGGCCCCCGGGCCCCGACCAGTACCGCCGCGTCCGCTCCCACCTGGGCGGCGTCACCAAAGCCGACAAGTACAGGACGTTCCTGTGTTTCCAGAGAGAAGTGCTTGGGACGCAGGACCTCCTGGAGAATGACTTCACGGGGGCCAAGGCCGCCGCACGCCACCAGCGGAAGCTGGAGCAGGTGAGGGCGCGGGGCGCCGCGGGGGTCACTGCTGTAGCTGCTGGGGCGCAAGTGTCCTCAGTGTCGTGGGCGGAGACGCAGGGGCCTCGCTGGCATGGCCAGGTAGGTGACGGCTGTGCTCCTGACAACCGCGCAGATGCCGAGGGTGACAGTCAGGGGCCAACACTGGGCTGGGCCTGGCGCGGGGAGCTGGAGGCAGTGTGGGGGCTACGGCTCCACAGCGCAGGGCTCCCAGAAAGGGGGCGTCCCCGGCCAGCAGGAGCACCCGGGAAAGATGCCCCGACTCACTGCCGAACCCGAGGAGAGTGAGCAGAGGGATGGAGTCACCTCAAGTTGCTGACGTCGGCCCAGGAGCCCCCGTGTCTGCAGAAGGCGGACAGTGTCAGGGAGGGGCCCCGAGAGCTGCCCAGGGCTGCAGCCGCGTGCAGTGAGGGGGGCTGGGTCTGAAGGGTTGGGGTGCAGGAGCGAAAAGGAGGGGAGAGAAAGACCTTGGGGACAATGCGCAGGCAGGAGTGAATCCTTGGAGACAGGGTGCAAGGGAGGGAATGAAGAAACAAAAAGCCCACAAAGCAGACGTGGGGTGAGCGGGTGATCGAAGGTTCTCAGCACTGGTCAGAGGGCACCCGGCACACCTGGGCTTGTCTCCTGGCTGAGCCTTGGGCGGCGGGGGCCTGCACCCTCTGATGACACCCCCTGGGGTTCTGGTTCGTCAGCCTGAGAACTGATTCGGAAGGAAAAGCAGACACCCCGAGATGGGCTGGCTGTGTTCCCCCCAGGAGCTCCAGAAAGTGTGTGTGTGCGACCCCCGCGAGCTCAGCAGGCTGCAGGTCTTCAGCCAGATCTTCGGAGACATTTGCAACAGCTCTTTGATATTTGGCGATATCCTGAAAGAAATTAAGGTAAGAAACATACTTTCCCACCTAACAGCTGAGAGCCAGGCCTGATGTCTGCACATAGGATCTCAAGCCTCACCAGGGTTCCTTTATTTTATTTTTTCCTTTATTGATCTTAGAGAGAGAGGAAGGGAGAGGGAGAGTGGGATAGAACATCGATGAGAGAGAACATCGACTGGCCGCCTCCTGCACGCCCCCCACTGGAGATCGGGCCCACAACCTGGGCATGTGCCCTGATCAGGAATCGGACCAGCGACCTCTTAGTGCAGGGTGGACGCTCAACCGCAGAGCCACACCGGCCGGGCTCACCGAGATTCTGCCACGGGTCATGGTCTCCGTTCCTCAGACGAGGAAACTCACCCGCGGCCTCGGAGGGACTCACCTCCGCCGTAAACGGGTCACGTGGAAGAAGCACCCAGCTAGTGCGCTCCTGAAACCATCATTCCCATCAAAGCCCCCTAGTTTCCATATGAATTTAGACAACTGTACATACATAGTACATAATTATGCATATGTAATTTTTACGAATCCTTATGCAATTACACATTTGTTGTGGTTTCATGAGGGTGATCTTTGTGCGGAAGCTGAGTTGGAAGTAGGTCGCTTACACAGTCTGCTAGTCTCCAAGTTCTGAATGACAAGGAATACCCAGCAGCAGCCATACAGGGACCTGATGTGCAGAGAATGTCCCCAGCCCCGAGGAGCTGGTCCCTGCAGGGCAGCAGACCCAAATCCACGGAGCTTCCCCGTAGCAGGAGGTCGCGTGCGTGTGTCCCGGCATTGTATGTCACTGTCCTGAGGTGATCAAGAGTTAGTACTCAAGTGTGCTTCAGAGACGGTAAGATCGCATTTCAGTGGGTATATTGGTCAATACACTGCTAAAATATTTTGTATTTTTTTAAATGATCGGAACTGGCACCCTTAACTTTCATGGGATTGATACGTGCAAAAGCCCTGCCATTGTAGTGTGAGCTCGGAACACACGTCCAGCGGCCCCTCTCTTTGTGTAGGATGAATACGAGTTCTACATGGCCATCCTCCTGAACTCCCAGCCCACGGAGCAGTACAAGGTAACCGCCGCGTGCAGCACCTGGCCGGAGCCCGTCCCCTTCCAACTCATGACCGCAGGAGGCGCCTGGAATCTGGGGAGCCCCATTTCCGCCCTGTACCTAGAATAGTCGAGGTTGTTATTAAAGGGCCGTACTGTGTGCTAGTTAGGACATTACGGTACCTTTTACCTTCCGCTCATGGTGAGGGTCGGGGTGGGGGTGGGCTCACCCACTTGCAGTGTTTGCCAGTATCTCTGGCCACCGATTTCTAGTGACCTCTCCTGCGGGCTTGTCCTTTTGGAACACAGACCCCGCATGTTACTGGGCGCACCCTGCCTATCTCGGTTTGCTCAGAACTGGCCCCTCTCCCTCTCGCCCTCGCTGGCTGCCGAGAGCCGTCTGCGTAGCTTCCCTGACACATATGTCACCAGCTCTCTCTCGGGGGTCCACACCATAACTGTCCAGCGTCCCGGCAGAGGCTGATACTGCGGTGTCTGGCGTAGGCAGGTCACAGACCTTAATAAAGGGAGATTGTCCTGGGTTATCTGGGTGCGCCCAATCTAATCACAAGAGCCCCAACAACAGAGACTCTCTCCTGGCTGGAGTCAGAAGGAAGCAGAGGACGAGCCGTCAGCGGTTAGGAGCCTGAGGAGGAGGCCTACCTCCTGGGGGCTCTGAGACGAGGGCCAAGTGCAGGGACCACAGAGGGGCCAGGGGCTGACGGCCGGCAAGGCAGAGAACCTCAGTCCTACAACCGCAAGGACCTGTTCTGCCCACAGCCTGAATATCTGAAGGAGCCTCCCCCAGAGCCTCCGGAAGGCAGCCCTCAGCACCTTCATTTCAGCCCAGTGAGACCCTGGCAGGGCCCACGGAGCTCACTGGGGCATCTGCCCTGCAGAACTGAGGTGACACATTTGTGTGAAGCCACTGAGTTTTCAGTAATTTGTTGTGCCACCAATATGAGAATAAGAAAACGTTCCACAAATATCTCAAAACAAAGTTTCCCAAGCTACTTTTAAGCTGTCTTCTAGTGACTGTCAGCTGCCACGGAGTGTGGTTGAGTGTGAGGGTGGCCACTGTCCCACTGACACCTTACAGAGCTTCCTTCATACGCTATTTTCTGCATGCCCCAACCAGGCACCTCTGCTGAGCTTACTAGTGTCTTCCAAAGTTTGTGTCTGCCTGGACGCTGTGAGTGGGACATTGTGGGGCAACCCGTCTGTGCCGATGTGGCCAAATCGAGACGAGGTCATCAGGGTAGGTCCTAACTATGACTGGTGTCTTTTTAAGAAGAGGGATGTGTGGACACCTAGAAGTTGGAAGTAGAGATGGGAGGGTCCATCGACGGATGGACGTGCCCAAAATGACATGAGTGCATTGTGCTCTTCGCTTTAGGATCTTATGCTGCAGAGAAGTAAGCTTATGTTGTTCAGGATCAATCGGAGGCTCCAGCGGGGGTCTACCTGGTGTCCAGAGGGCACCAACATGCCCACATCTCAGCCAGCCACCAGAATGAAAGGATCCCCAGGCCTCAGGGTGCCTACTCTCTGTTCTGCCAGCTTGGCAGCCCCTCCCCTGGGGAGGCAGAGAGCTCTGTCCCCCTCATCCGAGTGTGGCGTTGCTTTGGGTCCACGCACAGCGACCGCATTGAGCTGTTGCACCGTAATTTCGAAGGAGTAACTGTGGTGCCCATGACTACGTGCTGGACACACGTGACCCTCACGTCCTTCCAACACACACACCAACAGTAACCCCACCATTTTTAAATGTCTTAGGAAAGTAAAACCTTAAACGGTTGAAAAATATGTGACCCAGATCTTTAGGTGACTGCCGGTCACCTCCTCCAATATTTGTCCCCACCCCCAGCCCTCCCTATTTGCCTGTTTTTCCTTGAATTTATATTTTGACTCAGGGTGGCTTGGGAACACGTGCTAAGCAATGAAAGGAAAAGTCTCACCGTCGTTGTGTGTCTGGCCCGTGCGGCCGTGTCCTCCTAGACTTTGCTGGCTCACGTCACTGGGCTGGAGAGGAGCTCCGTGAAGACAGCCGACGTCCAGCAGGCCCGGGAGGAGCTGAGGGCGCTCGTGAAGGCCACCCGAGCAGCCCTGGAGCACAATGACAGGTGAGGGGCTAGGATCTGATGTATGCACCTTGGGCTTATACTGTTCGACGATATTTTAAAACCCGGGGCCAAGCGTAGTTTGCATTCTTTCTGCACCACCGAGTGAGGTGCGGCTGTCCCCACACCATGCCCGTCACCTTCTGTCCTCTTCCAGAAGCCTGGTCCTTCTATGGGTGGGCAGGGGAGGGGTCATTTCTCTGGTGGCCCCTGAGGACTTAATTTGATAGGCGAGAGAGCCGCAAAGACACCTTTTATGAATGCCCTGATTGGTTTGTTTTTCACCTAAAATCCATTTAACTTCTCTGTAGACTAGTCTTTCAGGATGAAATGATTTGATTGGTTTGTTTTTCACCTAAAATCCATTTAACTTCTCTGTAGACTAGTCTTTCGGGATGAAATGATTTGCAAAGGATTAAAAAAGATGGCAGCAAACCCAACACACCCAAAATATCTTCAAGAAAACAAAACCGAGAAACAAAAGCAAACAAAGTAAAAACGAACTCAATTGAACCCGCGACTTCAGTGACCAGAAGACAGAGAGCCTTGACCATTCAAAATACCCGAAAATGCAAAATGAGCATCTAGTTCTGAGATGTCGTCGCCTTCTCTGCACCTTTTTGAGAGCAAGGTCCTTCTGGGGTAGAGAGGAGAACGGAGCCGTAGAAGCCCGAAAATGTTCTCAAACCAGGACCAGGGAGAGAGGGGACGTGCCTACATGAGCAGGGACAGAGGCTCCTGGTAGACCTTCAGAGCACCAACGAAGAAGGAAAGGCTGGAGAGGCGAGTGTGGAAGCCAGAAACAATTCCGAAATGATGATAATGCAGGTGGAAAGAGGGTTGAAGGGGCAATCAGCATCCTTTCAAACTGCATGGCAGAAGGAAGCAGCAGGGAAGGGGAATTCAGAATCCCACAGGAGAAGAGAATCCAAGGGCACCCAACCCCTCCCACCACCTAGATGTCTTTCCGTCCAAAACAATGCTATCCTGGCGAAGACTGAAACAAAATAAAACCCCAAACGACAGCACATGGATATTTGCTGCTCTGAGAGATGAGGTCCTTTTGAGTTAGGAACCCTACACACGACCTCAAACCACTAGCCCTGCCCACAACAGGCAGAGGCGTAAAGGATGTTGTCTACAAAGTTTGCTGTCAAGAGAAAACCAGCCGATTCAGTTGATGGAGATCCCGGCCACGGGACAGCAAGTAAGAGGTGGAAGGAAGCAGCCGTGGAGTCCACACGACGCCACCTGTGAGCGTTTCAGGACATGAAAACCACCTGGAGTCAGAAATTTCAACCCAAGCACAGATATCGACAACAAATAAAGAAGACACAGAACAAACACAGTTTGATGACTGAGGAGAGAGACGTTAAAAAAGCCAAGGCTAGCCCTGGCCGGTTTGGCTCAGCGGTTAGAGCGTCCGCCTGCGGTCTGGAGAGACCCGGGTTCGGTTCCCGCTAAGGGCATGTACCTCGGTTGCGGTTTGTCCCCGGCCCTGGTTGGTCGTGTGGGTGGCAGCCACTCGATGTGTCCCTTTCACATCGATGTTTCCCTCTCTCTCTCTTCCTCTCTCTCCCTCCCACTCTGTCTGTACAAAAAATGGAAAAATGTCCTCGAATGAGGATAAAGAACAAAAAAAAAGCCAAGGCTATATAGATTGGGACTAAATTATGACAGACCCAGTGAGGAAGAGTGTTGAACAAAAATGTAATTTGGGGCATTAGAGAGAAGCAGGAAAATAGAGAATGGAAATGAGATAAAGAAAGAAAGAAAGAGAAAAAGTGGTTGACATGGAAGACAGGCACAGAAAATCCATTACATGTCATTAAAGTTCCCGAGGGAGGAAAAGCAATGAAAAGAAACATACATAATATTTAAAACCACATTAAAAATGGATAGAAAACAAGATGAACCCAAAGAGGTCTACACCATGACACATCATCATCAAAATGCAAAAGGTTAAAGATAAAGAGAGAATCTTAAAAGCAGGAAGAGAAAAGCAGTTAGTTACCTACAATGGAGCTCCCATAAGGTGGTCAGTTGATTTCTCAAAAGAAACTTTGCAGGCCAGGAGGGAGTGGCAAAAGATATTCAAGGTGATGAAAAGCAAGGACCTACAACCAAGATTACTCTATCCTGCAAAGCTGTCACTTAGAATCGATGGACATAGAAAGAGTTTCCCAGACAAGAAAAAGCTAAAGGCGTTCATCACTAACAAACCAGTATTATATGAAATGTTAACGAGTCTTCTTGAAGAAGATAAAAAAATATCAACACTAAAATGGCAATAAATACGTATCTATCAACAATTAAATCCACAAACACAATGAGCAAGCAGAACAGAAACAGACTCATAGATACAGACAACTTTTTGTCGGTCGCCAGATGGGAGGAGAGTTGGGTGAAAAGATGAAAGGATTAGAAAGTTCAAATTGGTTGTTAGACCGATGAACCTCAAAGGGAAGGGGGGAGGTGGGGCGGGAAGAGATAAACCCAAGGACGTATATACATATGTGCATAACCAACAGACACAGACAATAGTGTGGGGGAAGCAGGAGGGGGTGGGATTAGGAAGGAGGGGGTCAAGGGGGGAAAAAGGAGGGACATCTGTAATATATTCAACAATAAAGGTAAGTTAAAAAATGGATAGAAATGAAACTCTCTGAATGTATATACTGAGAAGGCTCTTACCATTAGTATCAATCCATTTAACCTCAATTGCTTACAATTAAAATGAGCTAACACATGTGAAAGTCTCCTTAGACTCCTGGGCCCCTCGTGGACACGTGGAATTAGGACACGCGTGGCGTTGATGCTGAAGCATTTCACAGGGTTTGCCTCAGATGTGCGACGCTTATTAGATTCCTTTTCCTCTCTCTCTAAACCGCTTGGAAATGAGATACTCAATTTAGTTTATTTTGAACCAGGAAGAGGATACAAAGAGATTACAACAATTTTTAATTTTTTATGTAAAACATTTGTTTTTTTTTGCATTTTATTTTTAGTTTTAAAGTAGTGGAATTTGTCGGTTGTCTCTGTGGGAGGAACATGAGGCAGAGGGAAGACGGAACCTTAGTCCACTTCACTGAGTCCATTGGTCATGCTTCGTGTCTACCCCAGGGTATAAGTGCTAGGTTTTACCTCCTTGTTTTCTAGGGACTCAAGTCGCAAAGTAGTATCAATCAACACTGTGGGAGATCATTTATTTTATTTTTTTTATCCTCACCCGAGGACATTTTTTTTTTTTTTTCCATTTTTTGTTCAGATAGAGTGGGAGGGGGAGAGAGAGAGAGAAACATCAGCGTGAAAGGGACACATCGAGTGGCTGCCACCCGCACGACCAACCAGGGCTGGGGACAAACTGCAACCGAAGTATGTGCCCTTAGCGGGAACCGAACCCGGGTCTCTCTGGGCCTCAGGCCAACGCTCTAACTGCTGAGCCAAACCGGCCAGGGCGAGATCATTTATTTTAGAGTAACCAGCTCCTTGAACCAGCGGCTTATGCGGTCTCAGAGAGGAAGTTTCCTTTGCTTTGTTCCACTTGACTGACTAACTCTCACTTTATATACATTTTCTTATTAGCTTTTTGGTTACACACCAGGAAGATTCGTTTTTATTTCTCTATTTTTTTACACTTTTAAATTTATTTTAGAGAGAGAGGGAGAGGGAGAGAGAGAAACATCGATGAGAGAGAACATCGATTGACCAGCCACTGGGGATCAGGCCCACAGCCTGGGCACGTGCCCTGACTGGGAATCGAACCGGCGACCTCTTTGTGCATGGGGACGCTCAGCCACCCAGCCACACTGGCCGGGCTTTATTTCTCAGTTTAAAAAAACACATAAAATAAACAGCAGGACAAGGTGTGAATGGGGCTCTAATCTCTCCGTTTGTGTTATCGAACCACAGACTCAGAGGTGACTTGGAGGAGGAGCAGGAGCTGCTGCGGTGTGCGCAGGAGAAGTCAGGCAAGTCCACACGTGATGTTCTCCTTTTAAAAGGCATTTTATTGGCCCCGGCCGGTTTGGCTCAGCGGTTGGAGCGTCGGCCCACAGACCAGAGAGTCCCGGGTTCGGTTCCTGCTAAGGGGGCACGTACCTCGGTTGTGGTTTGTCCCCGGCCCTGGTTGGGGTAGTGTGGGTGGCGGCCAGTCGATGTGTCTCTCTCACATTAATGTTTCTCTCTCTCTTTTCCTCCCTCTCTCCCTCCTGCTCTTTCTGAAAATAAATGCAAAAATGTCCTTGGGTGAGGATAAAAAAAAGTATTTTATTGATATTTTAGAGAGAATGAAAGGGAAAGGGAGAGAAACATCGATCGCAGCCTCCTGCACCCTCCTGGGGATGGAGCCAGGCTCGTGCCCCAACCTTATCCATGAACTCAGGGCCCTGGACGGTCCCCAGCGACCTGAGCCAGGCCGTCCAGGCCTGATGTTCTCCCGCTGACGCCCATGCTGAGCGCTTTGGGCGAGAGATGGTCCAACACCGTCCGCTGTCCATGGCCTCCTGCCGTTAGTTATTTCAAAGGGTCTTTTTTTCAGAGAAGTGATTACAGTTTATTCGTTTTTCTGATCATGTTCTTTAGAAACACAGTTTTATATAACATGAAGACTTTAGCTGAAGTGTTTTAGACACAGGAAGGTTGACCTGAGCGCTCCCGTCGGGGTGAGGGTGGCCGTCCTGGTTCCCGTGCTCGGGCAGCTTCGCTGGTTCATCTCAGGTCTGGGGGTGCCAGGGGGCCACTGAACTACGTCAGGACCTGTGCACAGGGAGTTAGGTCAGGTTTTGCCCAAGACATTTGGTCCTAGAGATTGACCAGTGACATAAACATGGGATCAGACCCCACGAGCAGGAGCTGAAGGAGCCACGTCGTCTATCCCAGAGAGAGTCTGAAAGTCTGCGACACGTTAGGTCAGCCCGGGGGCTCCTGTCGGAGCCTCTGCAGGGGGCGAACTGGCCGTGGGGCCGTGGTCTCCTGGGGTTTTCGGGGCCATGGCCATGAAGACAGTCCATCCTGGCTTCCGGAACCTTTTCATCGTAATTTCTAGCTCGAAGCAGTCAGCGTTTGCAGGCGGCCACGGCTTTCTAAGGCTGTCCACGTTCTCGACGCCCTCTGAGGTGCTGGCCCGTGGAGGCGTGGCTGGCGCCGTGGCCGGTGGGTCACCCAGGTTCTGGGCTTTGGGATCTCAACCTCAGGAGTCTGCGCTGCCCAGCCACGTCGGGATGACGGTCATGCTCCCCTCTCAGGTTTATCGTGAGGATTCCACGTGACAGTCCACGGGAGAGCGAACAGAGTGGCACTGTGCGACCACTCTGCCCATTGGTTCTTCTCCGTGTCATGGCTTCCTGTGAGGGCACACACGGCTCATGGCAAATGAGGCTCATTTTGTAAATATTTATGCACTCGATGGTTATTAAAAATCACCATAAAATTAGATGCACAATTTAAAATACAATTAAATAATCAAAACACGTTCAATTAAATACCTTGCTCGTTAATCTTTACTATTTACATGATTCAGTCAAACGTTGTCTTCCCTCCGAGTCTGTAACCTGCTGCTGGAGAGCTCAGCGGGTGTCGCTGGGTGTCTCTGGCCTGCGCCGGGGAGCACGCACCGGGCTACCGGGATGAGACGCTGGCAGACACCGGATGAGACGCCGGCAGAACGGGCCTCCACGGGGCTTGTCAGCCGTTTGTTTCTCTCTTGCAGGTGGTTCTCTCCTTCCCGGGAGAAATGTGCTCTTCATCTGCTGTCTGTCTTCCAGGGGCTTCTTGTCCCCCGAGCCCCTTCTCTGGGCTGGCTCTGGGCTTGCCTTCCAATCTCACCTCCGGGCTCTGAAGTTGTGGGGTCCCTGCTCCTCTTGCACCCTTGGAGCTCAGCCTTGGTCAGCCCTCCTCTCAGAGATGGGTCTTGGAAGGCTGCCTGGCTGTCACTTGAAACAGGTCACCGTTGAAAACAATTCCATTGTTCGATTGATTTGTAGAGAGAGGAGAGAGGGACATATCCACCTGCTGTCCCACTGTTGATGCGATCATTGGCTGAGTCCTGTACGTGCCCTGCCCAGGGATGGAGCCAGCATGTCAGGACGACACGACGCTGTACCCGACCGAGCTGCATGACCAGGGCCATGTTTAAACATTTGTCTTACGTTAAGAGCTTTATTGGTGACTGCTACCAGAGGACCACGGCGGGGACTCAACAGGAAGTCGCTAATTTTCTAGAACTCTAGTCAACGCCTCAACGCTGGCTCCTGGCTGACTGTTTCCGGCACCGGTGCCTCCCCCCTTGGTGCCTCCGTCTTCCTCAGCAGGTGGCAGAGGTGTGGCAGTGGTCAGGACAATGGCCTTACCTCCTTTTGGCTTCTCTGCTACCTGTTAATAGTTTCAGGTTGAGACCTTCAGCTAAGCTCAGGGACGAGAGCAAAGACTTGCCTTCGTCATTTCCTCACGAATTGTTGGGAAGACAGTTAGTTCATCACGTCCCCCCTGCTTAACGAACTTCCCCAAATTTCAAAACTGAACTCCAGCGTTTTCCCTTCCTTCAAATTTGGCCGAGTTGAATGACAGCCATCACTTCGGCCTTCTGTACTATGTACAGGTAAGAGTGAGATCTTTCCAATTGCCTTTTTCCATCAAAAAGAAATAGTTGTTCTTTCTCAAAAAATTAAATCTTATCAATCTGACAAGAATCTATCTGAGCTGTTTGATCACAAAATACCCTGAGCATGGAGTTGCTCTCAACGTCTCCATCTGCTTTCTCGACTCCGTAAATATTGAGATTCATGGAGCCCAGCATGCCTTTCATTCAATCCACATGCCTTTGGCTTAGAATCTCTTTCTTTCTAGAATCTGTTTTTTAGGCTTGAGGTCAGTACATCCAACTGCTAGTGGACACAGTCATTTGAGTGTCAATTCAACATGTCCAAGATCAATCTCCTCTCTCTCTCTCTCTCTCTTCATCTCATCTGTTCTTCTCTGTCTCTCTCTCTACTGTCTCTCTTGTCTTCTCTCTCGCTCTGCTCCTGTCTCTCTGTCTCTGCTCTCTCTGTCTCTCTCCTCCTCTCCTTCTCCTCCTCCTCTGTCTCTCCTGCTCCTCTCGTCTCTCTCCCGTCTCCTCTCTCTTCTCCTCTCTGTGTCTTCTCCTCGCTCACATCTCCTCTCTCTCCTCCGGTCTCCTCCTCTCTCTCTCTGTTCCTCTCGGGTCTCCTGTCTCTCTCTCTCCCCCTCTGTCACTGGCTACTACCATGAATGGCATCACCAAGCACATAGGCCTCGAGTCAGAAAGCCCGTGGCAGGCACCCTCCACTTTTCTCCCCTGAACCACGTGAGCACAGCTCTCAGTACGTGGCCAACCCAGGTCTTTCTTACCTCTCTGCTGCGTTGAACTCATTTCCCTCCCACTAAATCTGTTCCTAGCTGCCACCAAGCTGCAACCTAGAGGTCACCTGGATATCTGCCTCTTCATCGCATCCGCATCTGGTCAATGACCAAGTCCTGCTTGTTTTCTATTTGCCGAATCCCTCTCGTATCTCTCCGCTTCCCTGCACGCCGCGGGTGCGATCCTGATCCGATCCTGTTTGAACGATGCATTGCTTTCTGGCCGGCCTTCCTGATTTCGGTCTTGCTGAGCACAGAGGGATCATTGTCTGTTTCTCCCCAGCCGAAAATCCTTCAACAACGTAGATTGATTTCTTAGCACAGGTTATAAGACTTTTACAGATCGTCCCCCTGCCCCCGCCCCCGTGCCCCGGTTTCTTTTCTAGCATCATCTCTTGATGTTGCCCATCTGGTGCCCAGTGCCCCCACACTCCTGGATAACCATTTTTTAGTGAATGTGCCAAATTCTGCTCCTCCACCTTCCCCACCCCTGTTACTTGTTTAACTCCTATTTATCTGTCAAGTCTCGGTGTAGTCGCAGCTCTCTGGCTAAGTCACCCTTGAGTCTTCCCCTCCTGGTGTCAGCTGCTCAGATTAGTCATTCAGTAAACACTTAGTGATTACATGAATGAATTAAAGGAAGAATAAGCCCCATTATTCAATCACATAATTTTTATAGATGTGCTTGGAGTTTGTGTTATATTACATTTTATAGCTATATAAAATATATAGTTATATATAACACAATGTTAATAATACGTAATATTATTACTAAGGGCTATGATATTAAGCACAGTAATCCTTTGCTTTTAAAAATATTCCAGAATCATCTGAGAAATGTGTAAAGGAGGAGAACCTTACTCTTACTGACAATATTGAAAGGAAGAGGTGTGAAATACTGATAAAATTGGATGAAATTCAAGCTCTTGAAAGAGAAATTAAAACAGCTTTGGTTCATACTGGAATTTTACGTATCACTGAGAACAGCATTACAAGTATAGAGGTATGCAATTTATTTATTTGAATGTTTACCTTGTTTTTTTTCACTTGATGACCTTGGCAAACACATGAAGCAAGTTGATTTTGCAATAGGGTAAAAAAATTATATAAAATTTGGCATTTTGATTGTGCTCACAATGAGCTTACAGATTCCTTTGGGAAGAAGTAACAGCTTTACAATATTAACATTCTCATCAAGGATCATTTTATATTTATTTTTATGCATTGCTTTTAAATTTTTTGTCATGTTTATTCTGGGACTAGATGGCATCTGTTACTATTGTGAATGATTACTTAAAATACTTCACATTATAGTTTATAATAAGTTATTACTGTTCTATACAGGACTTGATGATATTTGTATTTTTATATTATATCCAGTCACCTCAACAAATTCTATTAATTCTGAAAAGTGAGGAAATCTTGTACTTGAGAATTTTCTTAAAATTCTCTAGATTTTTACAACATCAAGCCCCACCTCCTGTAGGTTTTGACCCAGAGGACCAGGGTCTGTCTGTTTTACTTCGTGTTCTTTGAGTCATTCTTTGTTCATTCATCTGTGCTAAATGGGGTGCAACTGGGTACTTTTGAAATCAGAATAACATCATTCACATAATATATTTTGTTCTATAAATAGAGAAACTCTTTGATAAATATTCTTAACCAAGTGTCTTTCTCTGAAAATTATTTTTCCTTCAGACTGAAGCTTTAAAATTGGAAAGAGATAATACTATTTTAAAGAGAAAAATAAATGTAAGTTTTTGAGAATCAATGCCTTTCAATAGAAATATTTTCTCCAGTGCCTTCTTGTACTGTGTTATAAATCAAATAAGAATATATGAATTGACTTTCTAAACGATCACTTTTCGTAATGCTGAAAATAGCTGGTTATGCAGATATTAGCTCAGAATTGGAGAGATGTAAGCTAATGTATTAAAAAAAATCTCTCTAAATAGTTGAATGTGCTTAGCAGAATTAGCTATTTCTTTAAGCCTTCCACACATAACAATTTTAGTGAGTTGATTTGGTTGCAAGGGATGTAATAGACTGGCCCCTCTAACAACTGTCAGGATACCCCTCCAAAATACCTGCTAACAGTCTGCTGCTTAATAGATGATAATAATGTTTCTCTCGTGTGTATATCTCTCTATATTATACATAGTATGAATTAGAATGTCATGCCTGATTCTAGAAGTGGTAATCTATTTGGACTTCATATTATTGCCATTACATGTGACCAGATGGTTTTTAATTCTTGGTAGAATATTGAAAAGCAGGTGAAGCAGTTCATGGGGAAGAGTAAGATGAGCGGGGAGGAGCGGCGGTAAGTGTTGACGCTGTGAAAAGAACTGGCGTCATCTCACGCTGTTCTCAACACCACGCATTTGAAATTAGATCAGACTGGACAGTGCATCTGAAGTGTTTACATCCATGAGACTTAACTTTAAGTATACATGTTGCACCCCTTCCTGTGCTTAAAAATGCTGAGCCCAAGATTTAAACCTCAATCCGTGTATGTATATTAGCAACATAGAAGTAAATTCTTTGGAAAAAGCTGAAAAGTCAAGGGTTAATTCTCATGGGCAAGGGTCGGGGAGGTGGGGAGGCTTGTGTCTGTGGGTGACTTTCTCAGATCATGTGGCGTTCACTGATATCAAATCTTTGAAAAACCCTATACATGTCTTACTGTAAAACTTTTAATTTAAAAACACAATGGCGGGTTTATATGATCTATTACATATGTTGAGACTTTATATGTTAAGTTTCTTAGAGTTTGTACTACAGTTCCAGTCTTACACTCTGGGGAGGCTGGGAGCAACAGAAAACCGCTGATGACCTAAATATGGAAAAGGCGTATTTGTACCAACAGTAAAAAGACATCTAGTTGTAGGTGGTATAGGTTCAACGATCTCATCGAACAACCAGAGCCCCTCTGTCTTTCTTCTCCGGTTTTCTTGAGTCCAGTTTTCCTCAGACCCTCAGTATGGTTATCCTCGGGCATCGGGTCCGTGTCCCGTGGAGGAACAAAGCGGAAAGAGAAAGACATGGCCAAAAGCTTCTGATTATGGGGCTTTTCTGTTTTTAGGGAGAAAAGCCCTTCCCAGGGACTTCCACTCGTGTCTCATTGGCCAGCACCATGTCCCAAGGACATTGTTGGCTGAAAATGAGTCCAGAAAACAGAACATTTCACTCCAGCAGACGTGGTAGAGAACGTCATGGGGGAAGGTGTTAGGACGGTGCTGGGTGAGCCATTCAGGTGGACCCATGTTGCCTTATATCATGTTAGGTGTCCTCAATGGAAAAAGCATAGACTTATAAATACGAAGTTGGGAAAGGTCCTTCCATAGCCTTGACGAAGAGAACAAATGGATCTAAAATTTAAATATAAGAGAAAAGCATATGAACACAGACGACAGTACGGTGATTGCCGGGGGAAGGGCAAGGGTATGTGGAAGAGAGTGCGGGGGATAAACGGTGAAGACAGAGACTTGACTTGGGTGGTGAACATATAGTACAGTGTACAGATGATGTGCTGTAGAAGTGTGCACCTGAAACCTGTATAATTGTGTTAACCAGTGTCACCCCAATAAATTCAATAGGAAAAAAGTAAATCAATGTCATGTTCAAGGTGCATCTACTTCGGCCACCACACTATCCTTGGTCTGGAAGATGCTGCAGGGATTTTCCCATCAATAGAGAGAATCTCTGCTCCATCCAAGGCCAAAGCTCTGCTGAAAGTATCCTCTAAGATGAGAGTGGACGATTGCAAAGACTTACTTGTGTTTTTGAGTAAATGTGTCCTAAAATAGATATTTATGTTGAAATTTCTTTTATGCTAATTGTCCTTTTTCTAATCTATTATACTTATTTCTTATGTATTTAAGGAACCTTTGGGACTTTATTAAAGAATATGTAACACTAAAAGAACCAGATAATAATTCTCAAGTGGCTGGAAAAATGACCAATGAAAATTCAGAAGCATCATGTACATAGTAAGAATGTCTGCAGAGGTATAAATGAGTGGAGATGCATCTCACTTTGTCACTTTAATTTCCAACAAAATCGATGTGGTATATGTATCTTACACAAGATATTGAAATAAATACATGTATGCATGTGATTAGTTTTGCTTTTGTATGCATATTTATAGCAATAATTCTTAGATAATTTTTTTTTTTTTGCATTCATTTAATCACTTTCTTCAGGGAAAAATACTTTCAGTTATTTGGGGGGAATAAGACATTTAGACAGCTGCAATATAGATCAGACTGGTTCCCTATTTGCCAGTGCAAGCTTCTCTACAGGCATTTAATAAACAAGTCATCTAATTAATATCCATTTAGTTAAATACTCTTTGCTGATTGTAAGTGATGCGGTGCTCCACAAATGTGATCCCACCAGCACGCAGATGGCACAGCACATGTCTAAGCTGACTGAGATCTTCCTGATGACATTGTGACAACATGGACAAGAGAACACTGGGTCCTTGGAGGAGGTGACCCCAAGTCCATTGGTGTCCTGTTTCTGTAAAAAACATGACCTTCGCCTTGCCAATTTGGCTCAGTGGTTGGAGCGTTGGCCTGTGGACCAGAGAGTCCCAGGTTTGGTTCCCACTAGGGGCACGTACCAAAAAAACAAAAACAAAAACAAACACACAAAAAAATGACCTTCAATGAGATGTGCCCGAGAGTACAGAAGTCTCAAATCCACTTGGTTCCTTTCTGTTTTCTCCCACTGTAAACTCTTCCAATATAGTAATTTTTTTTCTCTATTTCTTATTGATTCATGAAATAATAAAATAAATTTAAAAAGAAGTTATTAAATTAAGTACATTGTGCATTTCATCTGTGTTCCATCTTTAAAGCCATTAGAATATCTGAAAATGTTTGTTGTGAACTCCCTGGTCAGAATATATTTTGGGGGTAATATTATACTTGTCCTCAGTAAAGAATGAGGAATGTGTTGACTTTTAGAAAAAAATAAATTAGCCTAAAGGTGGGAATTTGCACTAGAAGAGTCCTAGAGAACTTGTATTCTAGGATTTTCTCATTCCCAGGTGAATTTATAGGTGCAAAACCCCCTCAAGCCTGGCCAGTACCTTCTATGTTGGCAGCTTGCTAGAGGTCACACTTACGAGAAGAAGGGTATCCATCGCAGCATGAATTCGATCTTACAAATAGATCCAGAAACGACAATAAAGATTTGTTAAAAAATCAAGCTTTTTCTATTTACACAAATATTTGCCATTTCCAGTGTTCTTAATTATAATGTGTAGATCCAACTTTTTAAAATTTAACATTATTGTCTTTGGCCCAAAAAATTTCCTTCAGAATTTCTTGCAGTTCAGCTACAATCAATATTGTAAATATGCTCACAGAATTGAAGAGAACACAAAAACATTGAGGAAAGAAATAAAACACATAAAGGACCCGCTGTTACTTCTAAATTTTAAAAATGCCATCTTGCTGGATGGAATGACAGCATAGCACAAAAAAGAAAGCACTAGTAGCCCTGGCTGGTTTGGCTCGCAGTTCAGTCCCTGGACCTGGTTGGGGTTATGCAGGAGGCAGCCAAACAATGTGTCTCTCTCACATGAATCTTTCTTTCTCTTTCTCCCTCCCACTCTATTTGAAGATTAATGGAGAAGTATCCTTGGGTGAGGTTTAAAAAAAGAAGCTTTACTAGTAAACTTGAAGACATAGAAATAGAAATATCCAAACTACAGCACAGAAAGAAAAAGGTTGAAAGATGTAATAGAACCTCAGTGACATGAGAACATTCAAGTAATTTCTAACTTACATGGTATTGGAGGACCAGAAGAGATAAGGGAAGAAAAGATATTTATTGAGGATGTAATGGTTGAAAATGATCAAATTTGATGAAACTACAAATATACATATTTAAGAAGGTAAAAAAAGTCTCAAGAAGGATTTAAAAACGCACCTAATAATCAAATTATTTAACCTAAGTTATGAAAAGAAAATCTAATAAGAAGTTGGAGGGAAAAAAAGACATGTATAGCCACCAAACCAAGTATTATTACAGACTTATCAGTAGAAACCATGCAATCCAGAAGACAATGGGGAGTCTCAAGATGTTAGGGAAAAATAAAAACCTTGCCAATCTAGTATCTATATAAATTAAGAATATTTTCAGAAAAATCCTTCTTAATACAAAAACAGTGGAGAATACTAGTTCTCTGATGAGCTGAACTACAAGAAATTTTGAAGGAAATTTTTTGGGCCAAAAACAGAGACAGCCACTAAATTAAAAGTTGGATCTATACAGAAGAATTAAGAACGATGGAAATGGCAAAAGTTTGTGGAAGTAGAAAGAGCTTTGCTTTTTAAATTTTTGTTTATTTAAAGATTATTGATCTTTAAAGTGTAAGTAATTATACTGTGGAGTTTATAGCATATGCAAAGTTCAGTAAAACAAAAGCAGAAAGCATTGGGGGGAAATGGAAGTATTTATTTCAGTGTTTTCACACGGAGAGTGAATCGTATGATAGCGTTTTGAGGGTAGACCACGATTATATAAAGATGTATATTATAAACTCTAGAGCAACCACTAAAAATGTAAAACACAAAGGTAAAAGTATGAATCCAAGAGAAAGCATGCAAAAGGGTAAAACAGGGACAAGTGACATATGAAACAATTATAGAACAAATGGCAAGATTGTAAATGTACACCGAGTAGAGAAATAAATAGTAATAAAAACAAATGACCAAGACATTTCAAATAAAAGAGACATTTATAGAGATAAGATGCAATTCGAGTCTATCAGAAGCCCTTTTTAAATATATGAACATACATATATCCAATACACAAAAGAAAGTATTCCATGAACACACTATCAGAAGAAACTTGGCATGGTCATATTAATATCAAAGTCAATTTTAAAAGAAAACGAGAGTTATTCAAACAAAGGTTATTACTAGGTAATGACGAGCATTTCATAATAATGCAGGAGTTAATTCATCAAGAGGACATAACATTCCTAAATCTTTAAAACAAAACATCAATCTGTAGAGTGGAATAAAAATACTGCATACTTTCAACATGTATCCAACAAAGGACTAATGTCCAGAATGTATAACTATAACAAACTCCAACAACCACCGAATAGTTATAAGAAATTTACCAAGTTAAATAATGGTCAACGGATTTTAATAAGACTGTCTATATACATATTTTATACACACACAGCACACACATATATCCAATACACAAAAGAAAGTATGCTTATCATGAGCAACCTGACCCCTGAGTATCGAAACCACAATGCGACCTCGCAGTTCACCTTAGATCAGCTAAAATGCG